GGGATGTAGCTCACTAGGTAGACTGCTTGCCCAGCATACATACATCCCTGGGCTGATCTGTAGCACCACAGAAACTGTGTGATGGTACACACCTGTGATCCCAGCACTCAGGAAGAGACAGGACCAGAAGTCTTCCTTGATGTTCCCATTTAGCCTTAATTAGTCATCTTGACACAACCTGGAGTTCTTTGAGAGGAGAAGCTTCAGTTGAAGATTTGCGTGGATCAGGTTGGTATGTGGGTATATTTATGAAGAATTGTCTTGATTATTAATTGATGTAAGAAGGCCCAACCCATTGTGAGTGGCACTGTTCGTCAGGCATGTTGTACTAAGCTGTATAAAAAGCTAGCTAAGCATGAGCCAGGGAGTGACCCAGAGAGCAAGCCAGCAAGCCACATTCCTCCATGGTTTTGACATTAGGATCCTAGTTGACTTCCTGCCCTTGACTTCCCTTTATAGTGGACTGTGACCTGGAAGTATAAGGTGAAATAAAGTATTTCTTCCCTTCAGAAGGGATCAGAATGCTTTATCACAGCAACAGAAAGGAAACTTGAACACTTCGCTACATGAGGAATTCCAGGCCAGCCTGGAACACATGGGACCTGTCACAAAATTTCTTTCCAGTAAACATTTTAAATGGGTGCTTTGTCATTTAGGCTTTGTATTAGGATACAAGCAAAGTAGACTTAGTACAGTCCTTAAGTCTGTAAGGGTTTTCAAATTGGGAAATGAGCATTGGCTCTAACTTAAAGGAGCCTCAGCCCCTAAAAGTCATCTCATCCTTTGAAGCTTTGTAGACAGGCATTGACTTGGTCTGAAATAAATTTCCAGTGAAAATTGTATTCAAGCATTAGTATTGGGCATATATTTTCTTTTCTCTTGGCTAAGTACCTGCCAAATAAGAGGTGCATATTTCAGTCTTAAAAGAAGCCGTTAAACTGCTTTTCAAAGTGATTGTACCAATGTTACTACATGTAAAGCCACAGATCAGAAGTAGATCCAATCTAGAAGAGGTGTCTTTTAAATTTAGCCTTGCACAAAGTCTCAGGACATGAACAAAATAGAGACAAATTGTTTGCAAGAATATAATATGAATTGCCTCTGTTGGGTTCCCAATAGAGTTGTTATTTCCGCCTGAGACATTATTTTTTACTACCCACACCTCTATCAGCATTCTGAGCAAAGAGAATCAAACAGCATATTAAGAGGGCAACATAATATTACCAAGTGGGTTGTACCCCAGGGACAGAATTGATTTAACTTTCAAAAGAAGGAATGGAGTTCGAGATGGAGTGAGGCTACATGACCACAATGCAAAATCCAATACCTGGTTAGAAAATTTTAAAAAGCTTTTCAACAAATTGGAAAGAGAAAGGTATTTATTTACTTTGATAAAAAACATCTGTTGAAAAACTTACAACTAATGTACTTCATATGAAAGACTAAATGCTTTCTTTCCAAATCTGAAGCTTCCCATTCTCGTCACATCTACTCAAGTCATACTAAAAATTCTAGTCAGTGCAATCTGACAAAAAAAAAAAAGAAATAAGACAATTTAACAAAGAAGTAAAGCTGCCTTTATTTGAAAATGACGTGATCACTTTGTAAAACTCCACTGGAAGTTGAAAGCAAGTTTAGTAAGGTTGCAGGGCACATTATTGATGTCTAAAGCTAAAATAAATGTGCATTCCTATATGCTGTCAACAACCATAAATGGAAATTTCAATACAATATCATAATAGACCAAAAATAGACAGAATAGGAATTGGGGATTTAGTTCAGTAGTAGAGTGTTTACCTAGTAAGCACAGAGCCCTGGGTTCAGCCCTCAACTCCAGAAAAGAAATAGACAAAATATATTACTTTGTTATATGTATGATGAGAGATACTAACTTGTGCTTTTGTTTTTTCTGATTTGGGAGTTTTATTTCTTTGGGCTTAAGGGTAATGCTAGTGTTAGAGAATAGTTGGGAAGCAGTTTTTCTTCTTCAGTCTTGTTGGATGAGTGACAGCTGGCTTTATTTCTTCCTTAAGCATTTGGTAGAATTTACCTGTAATCCCATGTGGGTCTGTACTTCTCATTGTGAAAAATCTCTAACTGCAGTTTCATTGTTACTAATAATAGGACTGTAAGTAACATGTTTCTTTCACATTGTAACATCATCCAAGTTGGAAAATTTATTGGCATAAAATTATCTTGAGCCTTCTATATTACAGTAGAATCTGTAATGATAGCATTTTACTTTTATATTAGTAGTTTGTCTCTTTTGCCCTCACAGACTGACTTAACAGTTATCAAAGAGCTAACTTTTCATTTCAGTATTTATTATTTTTCTTTTTGCCAATTTGTTTCAGCTCTCTATTATTTCCTTTATTATTTCTTTTCTTGTACTTATCTTGAGCTTGATTTTCCTCTTTTTAATTTCTTAAAGTAGAAGCTAAGGCCTTTGATCTAAGGCCCTTTTTATTTTATTTTTCTAATATAGGCACTTAATGCTAGAAATTGTCTACTATATGCTTTCTTTTTTAAGTGTATTTAATGTGTATGGATATTTTGCTACATGTATGTCTATGTACCATGTATGTTCCTGGTTTCTGCAGAGTCCAGAAAGGGGCATCAGATCCCTTGGAACTGGAGTTACAGACAGTTGTGAGCTGCCATGTGGTGCTGGAAACCCAAATGGGTCCTCTGGAATAGTAGCCAGTGCTCTTCTCCCCTGAGCCATCACTCCAGCCTTACTAAATATTCTTTAGCTGTATCTAGTAAATCATTTTACTCAACTAAAAATTCTTTTTGAGCAGTGGTGGCGCATACCTTTGATCTCAGCACTCAGGAGGCAGAGGCAGGCAGATTTTTGTGAGTTCTAGGCCAGCCTGCTCTACAGAGTGAGTTCCAGGACAGGCTCCAAAGCTACACAGAGAAACTCTGTCTCGAAAAAAAAACAAAAAAAAATTCCTTCTAATTTCCATTTCTTTTTATATAATAAATTATTTAGAGGTATAGCATATAGTTCTCAAATATATTGGGTTTTCTAAGAGTTTGTTATTAATTTCTAATTTAATTCTGTTATGGTCAGAGAATATATGCTGTACATTACTTGAATCCTTTTGAATTTATTAACATTGGTTTTATAGTCTAGGCCAGTGGTTCTCAACCTTCCTAATGCTGTGACCTCATGTTGTGGTCACCCCAACCATAAAGTTATTTTCATTGCTACTTCATAATTGTAAATTTGGTACTGCTATGAATCATAATGTAAATATCTGTGTTTTCCAGTGGTCTTAGGTGACTCCTGTGAAAGGGTCTTTCAGTCCCCAAAGGGGTCATGACCCACAGGTTGAGAACCACTGGTCTAGCATGTTGTCTATCTTTCCAAAATTTTTAAGTTCAAGAGCTTTGTAGTAGGAAAATAATATATTATTCTTAAAATCTATCAATGTCAACTAGGTCAAGTTGGTTCCTAGAGCTTAACTGTATCATTTCCATTATTCTGTCTACTTACTGTCAGTAATTGAGAAAGGGACATTGAAATTTTTACATATATTTCAATTTTTTAATATTTCCTTCTATTTCTGTCAGTTATTACCTTATATATGTATGTATATTCATACATATTTTTGATATATAAAATATATACAAATAAAGATATAATTTAAAAATATTTTATATGTATAAGTGTTCTGCCTGCATATATGTATCACATGTTTGGTGACCGAGGAGGTCAGAAGATAGTGTTAGATCCCCTGGAACTGGAGTTAAAGATGTTTGTGAACAAATGTGAGGGTGCTGGGAATTAAATTTGGGTCCTCGAGAGAGCAGCCAGTGCTCTTAACTGCTGAGCCACTTCTCTGAACCCAAAAATAATTGTGTGTGGTACTGTGGATTTACCCCAAGGTCTCATGTATGCTAAGCAAACCCTCTACCACTGAGCTACATCGTAAATCCTACATACATTTTAATGTCTACTTTGGGATATAGACCAAGTGTGGAGTATAATACCAACAGCTTTAATCTTAGTACTTGGGAAACAGAGGCAGGTGGAACTGTATAAATTCAATGCCAGTCTGGTCTGTATTGTGAGTTCCAGGCCAGCTTCCACTGCTCTGTCCCTTGAGTCTTCCTATGCAGTGGGAAGTAGCACTAGGAAAATGTAGTACTGGTCCCAAGAGGTACTAGCCAACCAGAACAGTAGTGGAGTATGCACCCTAGAGGAGGAAAAGTACAAGAAGACAAACCAAGTCTCTCTCTCTTTGGTTTTTCAAGACGGGGTTTCTCTGCATAGTTTTTGGTGTTACTTCTTGTATTCTATCATATTTGCTTTTTAAGTTTCTTTGGTGTGAGGACAAATCTGGTCTCTGTTATACCATTTTGGTAGTAGCAAATGTCCTGCCTATGGGTAGCTTTAACCTGAGCCTGTTCTTGTGCTGGGATTCTTACAGAAAATGTCTTACTGGCCATTTGTCATTTCCCTTTGAGAGTCGATTTATATAGATTAAAAGACAAACTCAGGGACTGGAGAGATGGCTCAGTGGTTAAGTGCACTGACCACTATGGCCACTCTTCCAAAGGATCCGGGTTCAGTTCCCAGCACCCACATGGCAGTTCACAACTGTCTGTAACTCCAGTTCCAGGGGATGTGGCATCCTCACACAGACAAACGTGCAGGCAAAACCTCAGTGTACATTTTTTAAAAAAGATAAACTCAGGTCAGCCAGCACAAACACTTTTTTAAATGTTCTTGGGAGGGAGAGGGGAGTTGGCCACACCTTTAATCCCAGCACTTGGGAGGCAGAGGCAGGCAGATCTCTTGAGTTCCAGGACAGCCAGAGCTACACAGAGAAACTCTGTCTCAAAAACCAAACAAACAAACAAAAAAGCTCTTAGATTGCTGATTTTCTGATTCCCTTTTTTGAGGGAATTTCTTGAGTTATTTGGATCAGGAAGCTAATTTTAAATAACCATTTTAGAAAATTCCTAAGTAAGTTTTGTTTCATTTTCAGAATTAAGAAAAGGAAAGAACAGCAGCGCTATGCTGAAGAGCAGAGACTCCTAAGAATGCACTGTCGTGAAGAACCTTATTCAGAAGAGAAGATAAGTGATCTTTTAGCCCAGTTACAACTTGAAGAAATAAAAGGAGCCAGAGAAAAACAGCACCGGAGAGAAAAAGAATATGTAAGGTGACTGATTTTAAATATCCTGCATGAAGTTCTGGCTCATATTCCTTAAGAGTCTTGGTTTAGCTGGGCGGTAGTGGCCCACACCTTTAATCTCAGCACTTGGAAGGCAGAAGCAGGCAGATCTCTGAGTTTGAGGCCAGCCTGATCAACAGAGCGAGCTCCAGGACAGCCAGGGCTACTCAGAGAAACCCTGTCTTGAAAAACCAAAGAGAGAGACTTGGTTTGTCTTCTCGTACTTTTCCTCCTCTAGGGTGCATACTCCACTACTGTTCTGGTTGACTAGTACCTCTTGGGACCAGTACTACATTTTCCTAGTGCTATTTCCCACTGCATAGGGAGACTCAAGGGACAGAGCAGTGGAAGCTGGGCATAAAAATCAGGATTTATGTTTTTTCTCCTAGTAGATGATTTGTCTGACCAGTCCACACTGTACTTTTATAGATATGTAGAAGCTTTACGAGCCCAGGTCCAGGAGAAAATGAAGCTTTATAATATCACTTTACCTCCATTATGCTGTTGTGGTCCTGATTTCTGGGATGCTCATCCTGATACCTGTGCCAACAATTGCATTTTCTATAAAAACTACAGAGGTAAGTTTCTTAAGGAATAGTTGAGTTCTAATAGCATTCATACACACACACACACACACACACACACATCGTAGTGATTGTGGTTCTGTAGAATTTGAATATTTACTATATATATAAGAGAATTTTATATATACCTTTATAAAACAGCTATGTAAGGCAATGAAAATTGTTATAGTTTCATTTCTGTTAGGAGTCTGTTATCGACATACTTTAATGGTGTCTAATACAGACTTGCAAGCATATATCCATATTAGACTGTCCATTCTACTGGTGACCCCAAGAAAGGTGAGGAGCTCTATCAAGAGTCCCAAGTAGCCGGGCAGTGGTGATGCACACCTTTAATCCTAATACTTGGGAGGCAGAGGCAGGCAGATCTCTGTAAGTTCGAGGCCAATCGGGTCTACAAAATTAGTTCCGGGACTGTTAACACAGACAAACCCTGTCTTGAAAACAAAACAAAAAAGTCCCAAGTAGAGAGAATGGAATCCTTCCTGAGGTTGCTAATGTTTCTTGTCCATCACTAAATATTGACTTATAGAACATAGAGACTCCATCAGCCTCACATAAACACTGAAAATGTTACCAGTATTTATGTTTTTGATGGGCTTCGTCTCTGTGGTATGAATTTACCTGTCCTATGAATCTTATCATTCCTTTACTCTAAAACTTCTCCTCAAAACAGTATGAAATGCATGATGTATTTTATATACTTCTCTCTGGTCTCATGCCACACTGCAGCCTCACCAAACTTTCTCTTACACGTTTGCATCTCATACACTTATTTCTCTACCTGTAGTGCCTTTTTTTCTTTCCTCCTATCAGTCCCCAAAGCCCACTTTAAATGGTACAGCTTTTCAAATCTTTCCAGTGTTCCTTAGCTGTTCATTCATATCCTTCTTCATATTATAGTGACAATTTGTATATACCTGTGGTGTGGAAGTACTTCACTGCACCTTTACCTTTGCTACCATTTTCTGTATTCTCTTTAATTTCCTTCCAGAGTGCTTGCTCTATTATAAGTACTCAGTAAATATTTATTCAGTGGCTAAACTGAATACCTGTGGCATTTTGGGTAAAGAAGCAGTACTGATAGGAAAAAGAAATGGGAAAATTGTATAGATCTGACTTTCTTCATGATTGTGCAAACCTTCATTTGCAGCATATAACCGGGCATTACATTCAGTCATCAATTCTTCTGATATCTCCGAGGGGAATGCAACTCTTCGAAACGCCATTCGTAATTTTGCTTCTGTACATAGACGGACTTCAAAAAAAAGTCTCCAATGAGAGTCTGAAATCAGTGCCAATGACTGGTAGTATTTCCATCTTCCTTTAAAATCAACCACAAAAAAATGATTTAGGAAAGCTGTTAAAGTATGTAAGATGAATTATCTGAAAGGAAAACAGTCCCACATAATAACTGTCTCTAACTAGATAGCTGCCTTGGGACCAACACAGAAAGTTGAATACCAAACTTGTCTCTTGTTTAGTATGTACCACATGGAACCTGTTATTTTAAAAGTGGTTAGAAAAGTAAGGTTTCTTCAATTCCTTCTGGCTTTTAAAAAAGTGTCCTTTTAGCTTTCTCTTTCTTTGTCTAATTAGAGAAACTCTTTGAGGTTATCTTACTATCATCCTAAAATCATGCTTTTGAATCTTGACAGTATTCAAAGTGTCTGGATGAAGCAGAAAAGGAATGGGCTGCTGAGCACTAATGGCCATCTATCTGGATTGCCATCGGCTCTTCTAGTTTTGTGTAATAATTAGAGATGAGAAGAATTTTCATTTGGTGTGCTTAACATTTCTTTTTCTTCCTGTTTCTTTTACTTTTTAAATTATTGCCTCTTTTCTTGGTCAGTGACATTGGAGATAGGATTTTTTTTTTTTTTTTTTTTTTTTTTTTGGTTTTTCGAGACAGGGTTTCTCTGTGTAGCTTTGCGCCTTTCCTGGGACTCACTTGGTAGCCCAGGCTGGCCTCGAACTCACAGAGATCCGCCTGGCTCTGCCTCCCGAGTGCTGGGATTAAAGGCGTGCGCCACCACCGCCCAGCGAGATAGGATTTTTTAATTTTATTTTTATTCTAAATTTTTTTGAGATTTTTTTTTATTTTATGAATATGAGTGTTTGCCTGAATGTATGTCTGTGCACCGTATGTGTACATTGCCCTTGGAGACCAGAAAAAGCATCAGATACCCAGAGACTGGAGTTAGAGATGGCTGTGAGTACCATGTGGGTGCAGGGAATATTGGACCTGGGTCCTGTGGAAGAACAGCTCATGTTTGTACCTGCTGAGCCATCTCTCTAGCCTTGACTATTATTATTCTATAATATTTACAAATGCCAAAAAGTCAAACTGTAACTTTTCAATATCTTTTTTGTGAAATATTTATGATTAAATTCTGTTTTCTTTCTTTCTTTTCTTTTTTCTTTCTTTTTTGAGACAAGGTTTCTTTGTACAGAGCCCTTGCTATCCTGGAACTCCCTCTGTAGACCAGGCTGTCCTTGAACTCAGAGATCCTTCTGCCTCTGCCCCCTGAGTGCTGATGAATAAATTTCAAAAGGTATATATGAGGTCAAAGGAATAAAGTTCTGCTTCGTTTTTCTATCTTTAAAAAAAAAATCTGCTGAATGACATATACCTAGAACAAATGAAATAAAGATTGCCATAGTTATTATGAATTTGTTATTTTCTTCACATTGTTTCTTGATGAAAAATTTTAAATGATTAAAAACAGCCCTTAGTAGGCTGGAGAGATGGTTCAGTGGTTAAGAACATTGGCTGCCCTTCCAGAGGACCCAGGTTCAATTCCCAGCACCCACATGGCAGCTCACAACTGTCTGTAACTCATATTCCAGGGAATCTAACACCTTCACACAGACCTACATGCAGCAAAACACCAATGCACATGAATTAAAAATAAATAAATTAATTAGAAAAAAAAAAGCACTTAGGCTATGTCACAAAACAAAATAAAGGCCTACACTTCTAGCCAGGCTGTTGAAAAAGAATCCAAGTACATGAATGAGAAGATTGACAAGTTATTTAACTAAATTGGTTAATTATCCAGCTCAGTCAGAGTCCTTGAAGTAAGTATATATTTTATTTAGTCTTAAAGAAGTATATTTTAACAGTTCTATTTAGGTATGATTTGTCTGTTTAAAATACACATTGAGCAGCTTTTAGTACATTCACAACCCTTACTAAAGAAGACTCCATGATCTAGCAGTTCTGCTTCTGGGTTTATATGTGAAAGAATTAGAAGGAAGATCTGAAACGGAGGCTTGCACACTTTATCTGTAGCAACATTACTCAGAACAGCCTGTGTGTCCATGGATGAATGAAGCGATTAAAAGTGTATGTACACTTGTAGCAGAGGGTTTTCAGGCTTCAGAAAGAATTCCTGTCACATGTGGTGACACTATTCTAAATAAAGTAAAGCAGTCACCAAAGACAAGTATTATAATGCTGTTCATGTGTGCTCCAGAAAGTAGTCAGATTTTCAGAAAGAGTAAAATATTATCTTCTGGGAGCTGGAGTTAAGAGGACATGAGGCATTGTCGTTTAATGGTACAGAGTTTTAGTTTTGCTGGATGAAAATGTCCTAGAAGTCTCTTTCACAAAGTCTGAATATACTTAACTGCTGAACTATATGCTTAAAATATTTACAATGCTAAAGTTTATGTGAGTTCTTAAAAATCTTTTTAAAACCATTTTATTATTATATTTTTATTATAATTATTACTTGTCAAGAGGTAGGTCAGAGGGGTATCAAATCACTTGGAGCTGGAGTTACAGGCAGTTGTGAGCTGTCTGTTGTGGGTACTGGTAATTGAACTCAGGTGCTCTGCAAGAACAGTATGTTCTCAACCACTGAGCCATTTCTCCAGCCCCTAGTTGATTTGACGTTTTTAATATGTAATTTTTTTTAGCTTCAAAAACACTGCAGTGTTCTAAACATACAAACATTGTGCTTGGGTACAGAGGGCTCTTGCACTTGCATTAATTTGGTGGGGTTTTTTGCTGACAATGAAGAATTCTGTAGTTTGTCTAAAAACTAATGTATATCTACTGCACATAACTTAAAAACCCAAACACTTCTCATGCTAGCTTCTCTCGTTTACAGCTAAAGAATGTCAACAGAATGCTATGTCACATAGAAAACCACAAGACAACCTGAAGCTGTTGGGAGCCATCACAGTGTCCTAGCCTCACAGTGCATACCTTGAACTACAGCCCTTCCAAAAGGCATCTTCCCCATGCCAAGCAAGGAGCATCAAGAGTTTGTTTTTGTTTACTTTACAAATTACGGATATGTACAGTTTTCAACTCAGGGTTTTCAGCCAATAACCATGCTAATATCACCTCACAAACTGAAAACAAAATGCCAGAAACATCTTCAAATGCCCTATCATACCAAAAGCAAATTGCAGAGTAAGGAGAACACAAGAGTACCTTTTCATTTTAAAATGTTTGGAAACATGTACAACTTAGTACAGTTACAGGAGCTCCAGATACATGTGTCCACTTCAAGTAAACCAGAGGCTTTGAGAAGCTGGGGTAACTGTGGTCAGATTGTAAATTAAACCCAATGAGGAGAGTAGATACAGCTCAGATACGATGTGTGGATCATAGCACTCCCCTCTCCATGTATTTGTAAGGAGACACATAAACACTTTTAGCTGAGAATGGTGGTACATGCCTGTAATCCCAGTACTGTTGGGAGGCTGATGCAGGGGGATCAGGAGTTTGAGGCCAACTGGGCTACATGAAACTGTCTCAAAAAAAGCCAAATAAAATAGTTGTTTTTCCTCCTTCCTTCTGCTGCTCCTCATCTTCTTCCACCTTTTTGTGAAAAAATTCAGTGAGACCCTTTTTACCATGAGACTTTCCTTCCCTTTGACTTGTGCTTATGACATCCTTCTCATATTTGTCCCTCTGCTTTACCACCTTACTGATGCACTGCAGCTTTTCTCTGCTACTTAAGCTGTTCAACATCTCACTCAACTGTTACTTTGTTTTGTTTTTTAACAACATCTACAATGGAGAGTCCAGGAATTTTAGATTTGATCTTGGGTCAGAATTCTGAACAAAACAAGAAGAATGCAGACAGTGGTCAGTGCCCTTTTCTTCAGGCCTCCTGCAGTCTGGTCCACAGTCCTTCATTTCCCAAATGTAGCATGTTTTGTCCAACTTTGCCATTTTATCAGTTTTAAATTTTCCTGCCCAGCATTGTCTCCATTTCTCAGAGTACTTAGGAAATCTTGCAATACTGAGAAGGACACCTGGCTTTTCTTCTCTGGTCTTCTCTGCCTGTCTACACAAAGAGGGCATAAGCAGACATAAGTCCTTTGGTCTCTTGGGGTCACCTTTAGCCATCCTGATATATTGCTCTCTAGGAAGGACAGAGCATAATGCAAGCCTTCCTGGTCTCACACTAACTGCCTCTATGACAGCCAACTCTACATGATGGTTACTAATTAAAAACGTTAACAGTAAAATACAAGGGATCCATAATGGCAGTCACTCTCTCTCCAAAAATCCCTTTCCAACCCTAGGTAACCATTAATCTATTCTATCTGTAAATTAGCCTGTCACTTCTCTTAGAAATGGAATATACAATATGAACTCTTTCATGACTGAACCTTTTCAGCTAGCTTGATGGCAAGACTCATCTGAGTTGTTAGCTTCATTAACACTTTGCTACTTTTCATTGTTGAATAGTATTGATAGTAATAGTAATAATAAAACCATATTTATTCATTCACAACGGATGGATTTTTTTTCTGCTATGAGCAATTGTTCTCAGGATTCTGTAGGTATATATTTTCATTTCTTTTGGTGTATACCTAGGAGTAAAATTCCTTAGTCACATGGTAGCTTTGTGCTTAACCTTTTGAGAAACTACAAATTGTTTTCCAAAGTAGCTGTACTAATTTTCGTCCCCAAAATGTGTAAAGATTCAGTGTTCTTCACCGACACAGTCTCTTCAATGGGTGGCTGTGATATGGTATTTCCCTGTGGTTTTAATTTCCTCACAGCAGTTGATATTGATCATTCTTTTCATGTGCCTGTTAGCCATTTGGGTCTGTCTTATGAAGATGTTTGTAAGATACTTTGCCAGCTTCATAATTGAGTTGAGTTGTCTTTTTATTACAGAATTAGAAGAGCTTCTAATGTATCCTACATGGTGGGTGCTTTATCAGCTGTATCATTTGTATTTTTTCCCATCCTGGGAATTATCTTTTCTCTGCTGTGGGATGTTCTGTATGGCAAATGTGTTGCTGATTAGTCAATAAATAAATCACTGATTGGCCATTGACTAGGCAGGAAGTGTAGGCAGGACAAGGAGGAGAATAAAGCTGGGAAGTGGAAGACTGAGTCAGAGAGACACTGCCAGCCGCCATGATGACAAACAGCATGTGAAGATGCCGGTAAGCCACGAGCCATGTGGCAAGGTATAGATTAATGGAAATGGATTAATTTAAGCTGTAAGAACAGTTAGAAAGAAGCCTGCCACGGCCATACAGTTTGTAACCAATATAAGTCTCTGTGTTTACTTGGTCAGGTTTGAGCAGCTGTGGGACTGGCAGGTGAGAGAGATTTGTCCTGACTGTGGGCCAGGCAGGAAAACTCTAGCTACATTTTCTGTGTGTGTGTGTGTGTGTGTGTGTGTGTGTGTGAGAGAGAGAGAGAGAGAGAGAGAGAGAGAGAGAGAGAGAGAGAGAGAGAGAGAGAGAGATTTTGAGACAGTTGTTACTATGTAGCCCTGACTGTTCTGGAACTCAACTCTGTAGTCCAGAGTGGCCTTGAATTCAATCCGCCTGCCTCTGCCTCCCAAGTGCTGGGATTAAAGGCATGTACCACCATGCCTTGCTTCTTTTCACTTTCTTAACAATTTCTGAAGCTTGAAGCATAGACTTAAATTTGATGAAATCTAATATTTATATACTTTTGTGGTTTGTACTTTTGCTATAGTCTGAAAAGCCATTATCTAATCGAAGGCCACAAGTGTTTATCTTATATGTTATGAGTCTTAAAATGTTGGGTTTTTTTTATTTAGAGTTACTATCCAGTTTGAGCTGATGTGTGTCAAACTTCATTCTTTTACATGTGGATAACTAGTCACCAACTACCACTCGTTAAAGACTACCATTTGACGTGTAGAATTGACTGGAAATGTCATTTTACTTGTGAAATCTCAGCTCTGTTCCATTCATCTATGTGTCTGTCCTTACATATAATATTTCTGGAATACTGTAACTTTGTGATAAGCTTTGAAGTTGTCAAGTGTGAGTCTTTCATCTTTGTTCTTTTTAGAGATAATTTACTCTTCTGAGTCCATGAACTTTCATATGAGTTTTAAGGTCACTTTCCTACCAAAAACAAAACAGGAAACACAAAAGAGCAGCTGAATTCTGATAGGGAACATACTAGATTGTTGGTTAATTTGGGAACTATTGCCATCTGACCCGCGAATGTGGGATGAGATCTCATATGAGTGTCTTTATATGTTTGTTTGGCTGTGCATTTACATTTACTGTACATAGATTAAATTTGATGTTATTGTAAATGAAATTGCCCTGTCTTTCTTTACCCCCTTTGAAACAGGGTCTTGTGGAACTCAGGCTGGTCTCAAACCTGGTGTGTAATCAGAAATGACCTTGAACTCCTGCAGTCCTCTCCTATCTCTATTCCAGTGCTGAAAGTGTAGGCATGTACCGCCACACCCAGGTTGTGAAGTGCTGGGGATCGAACCCAGGGCTGTTCAAGTGCTGAGCAAGCACTAGCAACTGTGCTACATCCTCAGCTCAGTTTGTGGAGTGTGTGTAAGAGAGAGAGTGACGATCCAAGGATATAACTCAGATTGTCAGGCTAGTTCACCAAGCACTTTTATAATCTAAGCTATCTCTCCAGTCCTAGCCCAGAATGTTTTATATGTTGGATCTTGGCATCTTGAAATAGAATCTTACTTCTTTCCAATTCAGCCGTTTGTTTCTTTTTCTTGTCTAATTGAAATGGTTAGAACATCCTGCACAAAATTGTGCAGAAATGGCAAAGTAGACATCCTTGTCTTGTTTCTTACTTTAAGAACAAAGAGTTTTTAGTTTTTATGATGTTTATCAGGTTTGATGAAGTTCTCTTTTATTACTAGCTTATTGAGTGTTGTTAGCCTGGAATTGTTGGGTTTTCCCTGCTGCTTTTTCTGCATCTGTGATTATTATATGTTGTTTGGTTTTTGGTTTTGTTTCTCTTCTTCTTTTTGGTGTTTTGGGCCAAGGCCTTGCCATGTGGCCTACGTTGGCTTCAAACTTATTCTCTTGCCTTAAAATTTTTTTTAATTGATTTTCTTGTGTTAACACAACTTTGTTTTCCTATGAGAAGTTGTATTGACTTCTGTTTCTTTGGTCCTCACACAAAATTTTTGTTTAAGTTTAGTTTTCTGAAACAGGTGACTTGACTTGTCTGACCTCAAGTTAATAGAACGATGATAAAATTGGGCATTGGAGATCATTATAGTTTCAAGATTGATGTCTTAGTCAGTGTTCTATTGCTGTGAAGACACCATGACTACAGCAACTCTTTTAAAGGAAAACATTTAATTGGGGCTGGCTTATAGCTTCAGAGATTTAGTCTGTTATTGTCTCGGTGCGGAACATGGTAGCACACAGGCAGACATGATGCTGGAGTGGTAGCTGAGAGTTCTACATCCGGATTCTCAGGCAGCAGGAAGAGAGAGCCACTGGGCCTGGCTTTAGTATTTGAAAGCCCAACCCCAGTGACACACTTCTTCCAATAAGGCCACACTTATTTCCAACAAGGCCATACCTCCTAATAGTGCCACTCCCTGGTGACCAAGCATTCAACTCTATGAGCCTATGGGGGCCATTCTCATTCAAACTGCCATTAATGTGAATGTTCTTGCATTGCAATTTGGTCATATGTTAAAAGTGGCCAATGGCTTTATCTTTGTGGAGTTACAGAACTCTGAGAGAAGTAGAATGTATCAAAGAAGCCCAAGTCTCTAACCTGTCACACATGGTGACAGTGTGGTGAATTCTATTTGAAGTGATAAATGTGCTTTGGGGGAAAATATGGAATCTAAGGTTCTTGTTTTGTCCCAAATTTTGCAGGACTGTTGTTCTGGCTAGTTTTGTGTCAACTTGATACAAGCTGGAGTTGCCAAAGAGCAGGGAGCCTCAGTCGAGAAAATGTCTCCATAAGATCTGGCTGTAGGCAAACCTGTGGGTCATTTTCTTAATTAGTGATTGATAGAGGAGGGCCCAGCCCATTGTGGATAGGGCCACCCCTGGACTGGTGGTCCTGAATTCTATAAGAAAGCAGACTGAGCAAGCCATGAGGAGCAACCCAGTAAACACTACTCATCCATGGCCTCTGCATCAGCTCCTGCCTCCAGGTTCATGCACTGCCTGAGTTCCTGTCCTCACTTCCTTTGATGATAAACTGTGATGTGGAAGTGTAAGCCAAATAAACCCATTCCTTCCTTGCTTTTGGTCATGATGTTTCATCACTGCAATAGAAACCCTAACTAAAACAATTTTTTTTTTTAGAAATAAGTATTTTTTGAAAGATTCATTTATTATCTATTTGTATGTGTGTGTAAGAGTGTATATGCACATGTGTGTACCTGTGTGTGTGCAGAGGCCAGAACAGGGTATGAAGTGTCCTCCTGTATCACTCTTTTTTTTTTTTTTTTTTTTTTTTGAGGCAGGGTTTCTCTGTGTAGCTTTGCGCCTTTCCTGGATCTCACTTGGTAGTCCAGGCTGGCTTCGAACTCACAAAGATCCGCCTGCCTC